TTTTTTAAATAAACGCTTAATTACTAGTATAATAAAAATAATTTATCCATTTCTATTATTTGTAGATTCAAATCATTGTCTATTTAATGATTAATGAATAACTTTTATGCATACATTAGTAGTCATTGACGTGAAAACTTTTTAACAATATTTCTCAAATTATTGCTTATTATGATTGTCTCGGAATTGTCTTTAAATGTTTAGGGAATGACTTTATTAACCTTCAACTCAAAACAAACTAAACTTAATTATCAGAATCAGTTAATAAAATTTATTGAATTATTGATAATTATTAATTAATGTTGTAGGTGGTTAGTGCCACATGTATGTAACCTTGCACATGTGATGTTGTATGTGATCTTATTGTAAATTGTATTTGGATGCCACTTTTGATCAAAGTAAGTGATAAATTTTAAAACTAATTATAAAAATGATTGAATAAATATGAAATGGACTCAATCTGTTTGCTATGCACTCTCGTGGTTGGCTATCAAATTGTAATGTGTGCTCAACAAATAAATTGGAAATTTTGAAATTACTATTGTATATGGAATAGACAATATCCAGAATAATTTTATATTATATCATATAAAATCTTATACTAAATTTAGACTATAATAACAATGTGTTAGAATCAGATCATTTTTAATTGTGAGATTAATTACTTAATTTTGATTTTAATTATTAGCAATCAATCGATGTTATATAAGATTATTTGAATCATTAAGTGCAATATACCAAAAACATTAATTACCCAAAAATAGTAATAATTAAACTAGTCATTAATCATTTTATGTAACAAATAACTTTATTTATAGTCTTATTAAAACAAATGATTAAATTATAGCCCAGTTCACATGATAATCTCAATATCCCAGGTCATCGGCACATTCGGACACTAATTATATAACAACTATTAACAATTGAAACTACATTTCAAAATGTGTAATAATGGCCACAATAGGGCCTAAACTGCTTTTATGCTTATGTCTGGCGGCCAACAGTTTCTCATCGTTGGTATTAATGACATCTTTGAGTGGTTCCCAAACGGATGCGTTGAAGTGTTTGTCGCAGGAGTCAGTTGTGGTGAACTGATCGCACGTAAACTCATACATGGCTTGAGTGGAGCCGTCGATCACTTCGATCACGTACTCGACGTTCTGGTCGTCACAGATGTCCGATATCTCCCGTTTGATGCAATCGTGCCTCTGATGGGATGTACAACATATGGCGGGGATCTGGAACTCGGGCTCCACGTGCTGTCGGATGTACTCCAGTTGTATGATGTGTTTGTCCGAACAGATGTTCGTCTTATGCATCCTTTCCTTCGGCGACCAACACTTCGCGTACTCCAAGAAGTCTAACATTTTTCATGTCATAAGACTTAAGATAATAATATGATTTAGCTATGATTTAATTACTATGTCTGATGAGCGGCGAGTGACACCTCTTTGTGATCACTTGTTTCATGTCATATGTGAATATCTGAAGGGCCTGTTGTGGGAATGTCGGTAAACAGGTCCGGGAGTACTGTTGCAGACATTTGATTGAGTCAAACATCAATCTATATTTATATAATTTCATAGAATTTACTATATTATAAAACAACTTGATTTAATTGATCTCATACTTGCAGTGCTTATCCATGTCCTCTTCGGTCAATGGTATGACAACATTGGGATCACCAAAGAATGTCAAATGAGCGCCACATTGGTCCGCCTCCTCCTCCGTTTGTCGACACTTGAGTCCATCCACTATGAAAAGTCCGATCACTGATCCATACATTTAGTATCAGATTAATTGTATAAAAATATTAGCATTGGTATTAATTTATTGTGAAATATATTGCAAATACAAACTTATAAGCAGTGATATAGTGATCAAAAACATCATAACCGATAGTTTCCATAACTTTTTGCCACTACTTTCCTCTTCGATGGCAAGTTTGCCCAAAGAGTCGATTTCGATAGAGAAATGATATGTCATTTGGATATTAGCAGTAAAACAATGAATTATACATAAAAATAAATATTAACTATTTTATAATCAAATTAAACAAGGGTTTTAATCAGAGCTATTTTTGATACATATTGGAATATTTTTAAAACTAGAAAATTTATTTCACTTTTTGAAAACAATTTGGAATTTTTTGTATAAAAATCTGTGTATTATTTAACGATTTATTTGTTCAGTACTAGTGTTCAATCAAACTAATAGTACAAAACCATATATTTTATTTGCACTTTCATTTGAGCACTTATTAATTGAATTCATTGTCACATTGTTTTGCATACAAACAAATGTATGACTTTTTCTTTTCATCATAAGATTTTAATTTTTCAATCAATTTTAGTATTTGATTATTATGATTACAATTGACAGGCTGTCACGCGATACAAATTCATGCATAAAATTATAAATTGTGAGACAATTAAATCTCAATCTTTAGATTTTTTATGTTACAATAGGTATGGCTTTTGATATCTGATACACATATGACTATAATTATTAAAATGATTTTCAAGTTTTTTGGTATTCTATAGAGAAAGTTCATCTCTCTCTCCCTCTCCCTCGCTCTCTCCCCCTTTCTCTCTCCCTCGCTCTCTCTCTCCCTCTCTCCCCCTCTCCCTCTCTCTCTCTCTCTCTCTCTCGCCTAATAGATTTTGTAATAGAAAATTCATAAGACTTTCTGTAGGTTATATAATATTATTTAATTGAACATTATTTTCATTGCAAATATTTTATATACAAATATAACAATAAATATTTGTAATAAATTTATTTGAAAATTATATTCATGAATTATACATACAATTTCAATAAATAATATTATTAACAAAAATAAACTTGAAAATATAAAGATAACATAAAATATTGTACATGAGGTTCAACAGTTATTAACTATGGAGATCATAGGTTAAATATAAACACTTTATTTATCAAATTAATATGATTACCGCAATAACTCCATAGATATATATAAATCATAGTCAATACCGAAACAAAAAGTAAGCCAGGCCAACGCCAAATAATAAGCTAAATATTAGGTTCATATTCATTGTCATAACTACACACATGAGGGTGTAATTAATAACGGTTCCCAACATGTAAAACATGGTAAGCATTAGCCGGGTCTCCACGGGTATGACACTCATGTCGAGCACCGATGCCTTAATATGAGTCGTGTCGATACTCTCCACACTTATCTCATCAGTACTTGTGGTCGCATTGTATAGATTTTTATTGATGTTAATGCGAAATGACTCTGGTGATATGTTTGCAATCTTGCGCTTTCGGTATTTATTGAAGTAGTGCTCAACTGTTTGCGACATAAGCGGCAGAAACATCGCTATTAGACACGCTATGAATACATCTATTGTTTGCAAAAAAGTAAAATTTTTCAGATTAGTTTTCAATATTAAAAGTTTATTTACATTTACATCAAATCAAATTAGTTTATAATTATGACAGGTATTAAACTTTTAAAATTATAGATTTACATTTAAGGTAAATTAAATGTGACAGTAGTAATATTAATAAATGATTGTTATTAACATGAATTTATTAAAATAATTAAATATCAATTGATAAAATATTCTATAATAATAATAAAATTTATAATTAAATTCTAATCTTATTTTCTTTAATATAAGACTTCATTATAATTTTATAGATATATTATTTAGTTTATTGTAAATGTAAACCATAAGTGTACCACAATATGATGTTAATATAAAACACTCACCAGAATTTGTATGCAATTGAATGGACTTCACAAATAAGATATCATTCATGAGTTTGAAGTGAAGAAATGGATTCATGTTTTAGTTTTTTGTTATAAATAAATAGTATTTCAATCGGTTTATAATTCATACAATTATTTAACACGCAAATTATTAGTCTATTATTTTATTATTTTTATGATAACATTTTGCTTTCTAGACGTTTGACTTTAATTAGAGTCAAACATATGTTACCAAAGATTTTTGATTAATTAATTAAAATCTTTGTTAAATAAAATAAAATGTCGATTCTTTTGGTTTTGACTTATAATTATCAAAATACTTATTAAGACTTGTATTTTGTAGCACTTTTTACAAAATATTATTTTATTATATAAGATATAGTAGAAAAGTCTTATCGTAAATAATATGAAAATTATTTTATATCTAGCGAATGATTTGATAAATTGTTTAATTAAAGTTAAAAATAAG